GACGTAAGCGGATCCGCGCTCCGGAGCGTCACGGAGTCGTTAATTAGATAAAATTTAATTGGGGTTTCCTTGGGAATCTCCGTGACGTTGGGGAGGCACCGGAGTCATCGTCACGTTGGTGGCGCTGAGTCAGGACCCCGCGTCCTCCGGAGCGGGGAGGGAATTCCAGAGAGAATTCCATGGGGAATTCAAAGGGCAGAGATTTTTCGGGATCCTGAAATCCCTGGGGATGGGAAAGAGCTCCCGGATCATCGAGTCCGAGCTGTGTCCGGTCCCCGCCTGGACACCTGGACTGAAATCTGGGACTCCAACCCTCCCCGGGCAGGATTTTTTCCCTTTTCCAGGAGGAATTTCCCCAAATTCCCCCCCTGAGCCTCCCCTGGCACAGCTCGAGGCCGTTCCCTCTCGTCCCGGCCCCGTTCCCTGGGATCAGATCCCAAATCCCCCCTGGCAGATCCCAAATCCCCCCTGGATCCCCCTTTTCTCCGGGATCAGCCCCTTCCCAGCTCCCTCGGGATTCTCCCTTCCCATTCCCGGGATTTTCCAGCTCCGTTCCCATCCCTGGACATTCTCCAGCCCCTCTCTGTCCCTTTTCCATGACGACCCCGATCTGGACATGGGATTGGGGTCCAACCCCTCAAATCCTGTGCACGATTCCCATTTTTCCTGAGCTTTCTCCCTCATTTTCCCCGTGTGTGATCGCGAAAAATTCCCACAAAAATCGGGGTTTTTTCCCCATTTTCCATGCAAACCCTCCACGTTTGCTCCCAACCAAACCTCCCGGGGATTTCACCAGACCCGACTTTCCCCTCTCCCCATCCCCACGGRGTCCCGGGGAAGGCGGGAGGGTCGGACCCGCCCCCGGAGCCGCTTCCCGGCCGGGTCTGCTCCATCCTCCGGGAATCCCGGGAATTGCTGGAATTCCAGCAGGATGAGACGGGAAGGAACGATTCATCCCCACGCGGCCACGAGCGGCTCCCTCAGTCCCCACCCCGGGGACAATTCGGGTCCAGTTGTGACCTCGTGGCTCCCAGGAAGCCAAATCCCCAAAATTCCGGCCTCTTTTCCTGTTTACTCCGGAAGGTGAGCGCTCCGGGAAGAATCCAGCGARCCTCCGGATGATTCAATCCGCCAAGGAGGAACTGGCTGCCGTCATGGAAAATTTAAAATATCCCTCACGCTTTTCATCTCTTTGCCTTCGGGCTGCTGCAAGTGTT